TGTGTCACTACACTCAAAACAAGCTCTGGGGGGACGTGGCAGCTGTGACTGGCTTGGGCCAGGTCTGCTGGACTGACCTCTGAAAGCACCCCGCGCAGGAGGCGCGCTAGAAACCGGAGGTGCATAATAAGGCTCTTGAGGTCTAGGAGGAGCTGGAATACCACTGGCTATTGGAAGAGATGAATGAATAGGGCGGCTTATATAACCCCTACCTTGACGACCTATTGTTGGGGCACGGGCACCAGAATAATGGCTCGACTCTCGAGACCTCTTGGCCACCCTCTCCTCTCTCTCCCTAGCATGCATACCCTCAATCCTCCTAGCAATGCTCACCACCTTCTTATAAGAAATATCCATCTCCAATTCACGAGTCATGCTATACCTGATGTTGGGAATAAGGCCCTCAATAAACTAGCGAACCCTCTCGCGAACGGTGGAAACCAAGGCTGGTGCATGTCTCGCCAAACTAGTGTAACGGACAGTATATTTTGAGGAAGTTATAGCACCCTGGCACAAATGCTCAAACTCTACGCACCATGCATCCCTAAGGCTCTGAGGAATATACTCTCTCAAGAACAAATCTGAAAACTGAGTCCAAGTCAGTGAAGCAGCCTCATCCGAACTGTCTAACTCATAGGTGCACCACCACTCATAGGCGGCTCCTCGAAGCTAGAAAGTAGTGAAGGAAACCCTGCTCGACCGTGATATACCCATGGAACGGAGAAAGCGGTAACACTCATCTACAAATCCCAAAGCATTATCTGATGTTAGACCACTAAATACAGGAGGCTTATACTTCTTAAACCTCTCAAGCCTCAGTTGCTCGTCCTCGGAAAACTCTGCCCTGTCCTCGAGCGGATCTCGGACTGCAGGCTGTACAGAAATAATCTCAGAGACCGTCTCAACATGCACTCGCTGCTCAGGAGGGTGGCAGGAGTTTGTGCTCCTCCCCGGGCCTGAGATGTAGCTGCAGCAAGGGGAAGCAACCCTGCCTGAGCCAAAATGGTGTACATTCTCATGAACTGTGCCAGAGTCTCCTGAAGTGCTGGAATAGTAACAACAGTAGGCGTATCAAGTGCCTAGACTCTAGCTAAAACTGTTGGTGGTACCTCGGTGGCAGCTCGAGCGGGTGCTCTGGCTATACCACGTGCGCATCCTTGGCCTCTACCCCGGCCCCGGCCTCTGACGGCTGCAGTAGGGGGCACGGGTGCCTAGTCATCTTGGGTAGCACGTGTCATCACCATCTATGAGAGAATAGAAGACAGAAGTTCAGAATTGTGACATCAAAATCTCGCACGACACGAAAATCAAATAAAATGGAATTTTCCTAGCCTCTCATAGATAAATACATACGTCTTTGTACCGATCAGCAAGACTCTAATAAACCGACTTGTGATTCAAGACTCCTATAAACCTAGAGCTCTGATACCAACTTGTCACGACCCCAGTTCGCCCTCTGTGAACCATCATGACGGCACCTAGTCTCTACGACTAGGTAAGCCTAAATTACGGAAGATAAACCAAATATGCAAAAGAAATCAATTTAAAACAGAAATAAATTAAATAAATAGTGTTTAACAGTGCCGCTCGGCATACACAATATTAACTCTTAAAATCGGTATATTTTCCCAAAACCCGAAAACCCATGGATCCACAAGCCTTCTAATGTTTACCACTGTCTAACTCCAGAATATCTAACAAGGAAAAGAAATACAGAAGGGCTAATACAATAAGGAGAGTAGAAAGGGACTCCTCGGTCTACGGACGCAGCAGATATACCTCGAAGTCTCTGGAATAGTCGCCTCGCCTCAAGGGTGATAGGACTGAGTCAAGGTACCTCGATCTGCACATGAAAAACATGTGCAGAAAGGGCACGAGTACACCATAGCGGTACTCAGTAAGTGTCAAGCCTAACCTCGGTCGGGTAGTGACAAGGAAGGTTAGGGCCCTACTGAGGTGTAATAAAATATAAAGTTTGACAGTGTAAAATAAGACAGTATAATTAAGTGCAAAAGTAAGAAATAACATAAGATAGAAAGAACAACAACAACTAGAACAGAAACAAGATAATCACCGAAAGAAAATACAACTCAATACAGAGGTAACAAATGGGGTACCTTCCAGGATACCGTCATGTAGTCCCAATTACATCTATCTAGTGGATCTCCCGGGATCCCGTCCCGTAGTCCAACTATCAGTGCGCGGGGATCTACCAGAATCCCGATCCGCTGTCCCAAATATAAATATCCAGTACTAGGGGGATCTACCAGAATCCCACATCCGTAGTCCCAAATAAATAGATAAGGGGGATCTACCGAAATCCCACATCCGTAGTCCCAATGTAAATACACAGCAGAAACAGGAAAATATTCAGCAAATGTCAATTTCATATTAAGGTAAACAAGTAATTCTAGTCTAGCATGCTGCACAAAATTCAGGTAAAACAGTTTGAACAAATAAAGCAATTAAATCACTTAGACATGTTTTCCTACGCTAACAACAGGCTTAAAGTGCAAGTAATATAACAGGGAAGGAGACATACTAGTAATTACTTAATGAAAATTGGATTTTCAATAATTAGCATAAGTACGCACTCGTCACCTCACGTACAAGGCATTTCAATTAACAGTAATACCAAATCCTAAGGGGAAGGTCCCCCACACAAGGTTAGACAAGCGACTTAGGTAAACTGACCAAAATGCCCCTCGGGTTCACGTCTCGGAATTGGGTAAAAATTATATTTTCAGAATCCTCACACTCTCACGAGTTCATGCATACCAAAATTATCCAAATCTAAGGTCAAATTCCCAATCAAAATTCGAATTCTAGGTCTAAGAACTTTCTTCTAACCTTTTCCCAATTTTCATCTCCAATCCAAAATTAAATGATGAAACTAACTATAGATTGATGGAATATAACTAGAAATGGTTAAAGAATTATTATCCAATGATTTTCTCTTCAATTTCCTCCCAGTATCGCCCTCTCCGGAGCTCCAATTTGATTTTTCCAAGTTTTGAACCAAACCCTTGAAATTTTATATTTTTGCCCAGCGATTACTGCATCTGCGGTCAAGTGAGGGCACCTACGGTCCCGCACCTGCGGAAGAATCCATCGCAGGTGTGAAAAGTCACTTAACGGGCTGGGTCCGCATCTGCGGTTGCTTGGCCGCATCTGCGGCACCGCATTTGCAAAAACCCAGCCCCACCTGCGGATCCTGGAGGTTGGGCCAAATATCACTTCAACGGCCACAAAGCCGCTTTTGCGGCACCGCACATGCAGTCCCATACTCGCAGGTGCGGTTATGACAAGTTCAGCAATTCCAAATTCTTCCTAAGTCCAATTCCACTTCCGTTAAGCACCCGAAACTTACCCGAGGCCCCCAGGATCTCAACTAAATACCAGTACTAAAACATCAAACAAACCTATTCCAACCCTCGAATTACATCAAACAACGCTAAAACCACAACTCACTCTTCAATCCAAGCTTTAGGATTTCCAAAACTTTGAAATTATGCTTTTGATCAAAAAGTCTATCAAACCTCGTCTGAATCACCTAAAATTTTGCACACACGTCACATTCAACCCTACGGAGCTACTCCAACTTTTGGAATTCCATTTCGACCCTCGGATCAAAATCTCACTATCGAACCGGAAACTTCAAAAATTCGATTTTCGGCATTTCAAGCCTAAATTAGCTACGGACCTCTAAAACATAATCCGATCACGCCCCTAAGCCTGAAATCACTCAACGGAGTTAACAGAACTGACGGAATTCCATTCCGATGCCGTCTTCACACTGCTCCGACTACGGTCAAATTTCTAGAACTATAATTCTCATTTAGGAACTAAGTGACCCGAAACTCAAAACTGAACATCCCGGCAAATCAAAATAGCAGAAATAAACACGGGGAAAGAAGTTAATAGGGGATCAGGGCGTTAATTCTTAAAACGACCGACCGGGTCGTTACAATTGAGAGTTGTTTGACTTATAATTTTGCATGTCTTAAGACCATTCTCTACAATTTCTCCCATTTTGATTGCTTCTGAGAATGATTTGCCAACTGCGGACATCATGTTTTGAAAGTAATCGAGCTCTTGATCCTGAAGAAAGACAATGATTAGCTCATGGTCATCCATGGGTGTCTTAACTCTAGCCGTTTGCTCTCTCCATTTAATGGCATATTCCCTGAAACTTTCAGTTGATTTCTTCTTTAGGTTTGAAAGGGAATTATGGTCTGGGGCAATGTCGATGTTATATTGGAACTATTTGACAAAGGCATGTGCAATGTCATCCCAGACATACTAACAAGATGTGTCTTGACCTATAAACCATTCGGAGGCTACACCCATAAGGTTTTCCCCAAAATAAGCCATCAGTAATTCTTCATTTCCTCCCGTACATCTTAGTTTGTTGCAATACCTTTTCAGGTGGGCTATGGGGTCTCCATGTCCATCATACTTTTCAAATTTGGGAGTCTTGAAACCAAGTGGCAAACGAACATGGGGGAACATACATAGATCCCTGAAGGCAATACTCTTCTAACCTGCCAGCCCTTGCATGTTTTTTAGCTGTTGTTCTTAGCTTTTCAGTCTTTGGGTTATTTCTTCTGATGTTATCTTTGGGTCAGACTTCTCAATCTTTGCAGGAAGATCAAATAGGTAAGAGTGGTACTCAGTAGAATGGTATTGTTCTTGATGGGTAGCAAATTGTGACTCATGAGGTTTCTTCTGCATCATCGTTGGTTGTGGGATGGTGAAGACAGGCATAACTGTAGTGGTTGTCTGATTGGTTGTCAATGACACACTTTGGGAGTGCGCAACAAAAGTTCCAGCTATAGACGTACAATTGGGATAAAGGCTGAACCTAAATGGATAGAAATGATTAGACGATGAAACCAGAGTGGTAGTAGTCGAGATGGGTGTAAACTCTGGGAAAACATAAGAATGGGGTGGTCCTTGACCATTGGCCCATGCTTGACTTATTTCAGACATTTGTTGTTTCAGCCTTTGGACCCCTCTTTCAATTCAGATTCCGACTCCACAATCTCCCTCGAGGGGTCGACAACTCCTGTATCCAAGTCTTTGCTAGTTATGGCTTCCTTGTTTTTTGACCTTGTGTTGTATGGACAAATCACCAAAGTGCCACAAATTAACCACCCTCTGTTATAATGAAAGTAACAAAGAGAAGCAAAACAAAGCCAACATGTTAGCGTTAGGACATTTATCATATAGAAATATCACATTGTGTGCAATGCCCCTAGCAATAATTAACGTTTTAGAATGACTTCGACGGTCACAAAGTCATTTCAACCTTCTCTTTTCTTTCTTTTCTAGCACTTCTTGGCTTGCTCATTTTCCTTCCTCTCTTTTTCTTTTTAATTGTCACTCTTTCTTTCCTCTCATTTCTCATATCCAAAATTTCATCTCTTTTTCTCTTTTTTATTTTAGTTGTCAAAAAAATGATTCGATCGAACCCTATGTAGGTTCCCTACGTATCATGTCCCTCGTGAATCAGATCAAGCGTAGTTTTGGAAAAATAATGGACAAAATAAACTAAGAAACAAAAATATTTTTGTGATTTTTCATATAATTTTTTTTTTGGTTTTTCAAATACAAAATGGGAAGTAATATAACAAAAGACTCGATATTACTATACAAGACTAGAAAGTAAAAGACAACATGAATGACAGACTCACACCATAAAAGTATCTATAAGCAGCTCCTAAATGCAATGGTCCTAGGATATTAGTCATGCTCGATTCCTGGTACATGGATCCACACCTGAATGAGAAAAATAAGACCAAATAGATCAGTGATTCAAGACACTACGCGACACCACAACACCTCCTATTGGACACATGCAAGACACGATTGGGCTATTTTTGGAAATTAACCTACGTGGCCAAGAGTGGCCAGAAGTGCAAACTCAACAACGGTGACTAATCAGATATGGAAATACCTCACTAAGGCTTATATGGATTCAACTCCCAATAATCATGGCCCAAAATTAATTTGCAGAAATGATCCATTTTACAAAAAACGGCCAATATGGCTAGAGGTTGCTAAAGATGCAAACTCAAAAGGACGGACCTTAAAGTAATATGATACCTAGTTGTGGACACAAGATCCTAAGACATGGGTCATTGAACCACTTTTGCGAAAATAACCCCATTTTGCAAGAATTGCCGATATGGCCAAAAGTGGCTAGACATGCAAATTCAACAGGAATGGACCTTAAAACTGAGAGGATGCCTTGTTGTGGACTTGGGGCTCTAAAACATGAGATAACAAACTACTTTGAGAAAATAGCACTATTTTGCAAAAAACAGCTGATGCGACCAAATGTGGATAAACATGCAAGATTTGGCTACGACCCTGGAAGCCAAGAACCTAAGACTTACTCGAAAAATCGGACCCTAAGTGGGTTGCCTACGTATCCCGCCTGGAAAGAAGAGAATCAAGTATGCGTAGTTCGGAAAGATTGGACATGGGAGAAAACATTTTTTAAAAAAATGCAACTAATTTGGAAAGACTATATTTTTTGTCTTTTTGAAAAATGATGGAAAAATATAAAATCTTTTTGGATTTTCTTTTTTTCTTTTTCTTTTTTTTTTGATTTTTTGAAAATGATGGGAAAGTGCAAAATCTTTTTGAATTTTTCATTTTAATTTTTTTTGTTTTTTTCTTGAAAAAGTTGTGAAAGAAAATCGTACCTGGGCCCTACTTGCTTCATTTTTATACCCTCAACCATCATTGGTCCGTCAAATGACCCTTTTACCCTTAAAGAATGCAGCATGTCGCACATAGGGATGATTAAATGTCTATGTGGGCCATGGGCCCGTTTTGACATAATTTGGATAGGTCTCCTATAAAGGGACACGGTGCCTAGGACAGAGCCCTGCTAAGTGTGAATGACATGATGCAAACAGGCATGACCTAAAGGCTGACCTAAGTTTGAGGGTTCACTAGACAAGGCAATTCGGGGTGGCACATGGTCGATGGCGGCTGCTCTAGCTATCCGCCCACTCCACACTCCCACGCCACCCCCTAAAGACACGAGTGACTCACAAAAGGGCCGTGTATGCTCAAATGTACTCCGGAAGACTTGTTGTAGAAAGAAGACTCGGTTATGCAAATGATGACAGTTATAAAACGGTAGACACATAAGGAAAAGCGATAAACAAATAGCCAATAAAACAAGAAATAAAACAAACAAAGAAAATAAAGAAAACAAACACCTCAATCGAATATCCTAAAAGCCAACAAGATCAAGTATTAGCTCGAATCTGCAAATCCTCAGCAGAGTCGCCAGAGATGTCACACCCCTTTTTACCAACTCATTAAACCTCTTAAATAAATAAAAGGATTTTGTGAAGAATAAAAGAGTTTTCAATTTTGAAAGTGACAAGAACTGTGTTCAAAAGGAAATAACTCAGAGTCACCACCTGATATTGGTTTCGGTGTGCCAAGTCACCATTTTTTAAAAATAATTTTCCTTTTAAAACACTTTGGACTCCAAACTAAGTCTGCACTAGAGATTTGGATAAGGAGGTTCATTTGACTCGGGGAGAAGGTATTAGGCACTCCCCAAGTCCCGTGAAAGTCACGGTTGCGTACTCGATCTAGTTGGTTTTTAGAATATTCAAATTGAGGTAAAAATAAACACGGAAAAGCAAAATAAACACACAAAAGAGGCTCGAGGTCGACCCCACCTAATAAAAGATAAATATAAAATAAAATAAAAATGAAAATCCTATTCTATGCTTTCTCAAATTGTCCCATCTTTGGCCTTCAAATACAAATACTTTGGGGCATTCCCCGGATAAATTTAACTCAAAGAAACGACCTCTCGCCTCGAAACTAACAAAAATCCTAAGGCTTGCTTACCCAAATGTGGTCGGCCTAAACATGCTACTAGCGAAGAAATAAATAAACAAGAATAAAAGGACAATATAACTTTTACCCAACAACCCGTTCCAAATAAACTGTAAAATTTCCACTCTTTATTCAATTTAAAAGCCAACACCATTGGATGAAATCACTAATATTGAAATGTATTAATTAGCCAAATTCATCACAAGATCAAAAATATCAGAGATAGTCATGGAAAATATATGCATATACCATTCAAACACATATGTAACAAACATCAGGAGGCAAGATATTAAAGGTAGGAATGGACCTTGAATGGATTTTTAATTAACCTCTGTCCGGATGTGCAAAGTTTTTAAAAAACGGTAACAACCAACGAACAATTGATCGAAACTCAATCAAACACAGAACTTGAACAACAATTGAGATGAAAAATTCTATCCGTCGAATTTGCAATGTTGGACCAGAAGCCCTCGAACGACAACCTCAGATAATATCCATTTGAACAAAAATTCGGAATCGAAAAGTGAAGAAGCAGAAATATGTATTTTCTTTTAATTTTTCTGATTTTCTCTTTCAAAACGTGATTAACAGTTAACCAAACCAAACAGATGTTTTTGTATATATTTCATTTGAATCTAAATAATAAACTAAAGTCCTTTCTCTCTTCCCCTCTGTTGGCTGTTTGTTCTGGGTTGAAGAGGAGGGGTAGTGCGGTGGGTTTTCCGGTGGGTTTTAGAGGTTGGGTGTGTGTGTGTTTTTGTGCTGCTTTAGAATGGAGGAGATGAGGGTGGTCGTTTGGATGTGTGGGGGGGGTCAAGTGTTTAGGTATTCCGGCGAGTTTTGGGGAGCGAATCGATTTTTTATGAAGGGGAGAAGAAGAAACAGAGGTTCCATCGATTTTGGAGATAGAGGTCGGTGGTGAAGATAGCTGAAGGTGCTGGAGTTTAGCTGGTGGGATGGAGTGATGGAGGCAGCTGCAGTGAGGAGATGGGGGCGGCAGCAGCTCTAAGGGTTCAGGGATGTTCTCTATGATTAGGTTTTAGGTTGTAATTAGGTAGATATATGTGGGTGGGGATTAGTTTTGACCATTAGATGAAAGAGAGTGAATGACTAGGATTAAATTAAAAAGAGTTGATGGGTCAAAAGGGTCTTGGGCTTCATATTTGGTTCTTAAAATTGGACTAAAAGAAAAATGTCCAAACCTTAGTTAAATACCTTTTAATATAAGCTAAATATACTACATATTACAAAAATCTATCTAATTAATTAAACTAAATTATATATAAAATATGAAACTATTTTTTTTATTTTTCAAATGTCAAACTAAAATAATAACAAGATTAGATTAAAATTATCGCAAAATTAAGATAATCTTACTACCCAAAACACTAATATCTTTAAAAATAAAGTGTAACTATTTTGTATTTTCGAATTTTATGTAAGGTAGATAAACTAAAAGTAACAAGATAAAATATCAATAACCTAAATAAAAGAAAATATTTTTGTAATTTTCATTTTTGTGACAAAATAAAGTAAAATAGTTAAAACTAGGTAAAATATCGATATTAGGCCTAAACTAAATATCTAAAAGCTAAAATGAGTAAAAACTAGGGGAGTGTCAAATATTACATGTCTACATTTGCAACCCAGACCAGGGATGATTTTGCACCTCGCGTATCTTTTAGGTCTAAAATCATCATTTGGTGTGGGCTAGCTTTGTGCCGATCATCTACAATGGTTAGTATAATTAAAAAAGAATAAATCTCAACCTTGAATAAACGATACCTGACCGGGGGTTTTCCTTTCAGAAGTAATACTTCTTAAAATGAATAGCATTTCCATTTGTTGGGAATACTTTGTCGTCCATTGTTTCCAATTCATATGCGCCCTTTCCAGCAATACCTCGAATCTTTTAAGGTCCTTCCCAATTTGGGCTCAATTTTCCTGCATTGGCCGCTTTTGATGATTGAAAAACTTTTTAAAATACGAAGTCCCCAAATTTGAAGTACCTAAGATGAGCTTTCCGATCGTGATATCTCTCAATAATTTGCTTCTGCGCTGCCATCCTTATTAGAGTTGTTTCTCTTCTTTCTTCAAGCAAATCGAGATTTACTCGCATCTCTTCATCATTTGATTCTTCGGTTGCTTGGATGTACCTCATACTTGGTTCTCCTATTTCAACTAGAATTGAGGCTTTGACACCATACACAAGGAAGAATGGAGTCTCTCCCGTACATGTTTTTGCTGTTGTTCGGTAAGCTCATAAGACTCGTGGTAACACTTCTGGCCACTTACCTTTTGACTCCTCTAATCTTTTCTTCAAGTTATTAATAATAACCTTGTTCGTGGATTCAGCTTGTCCATCAGCCACAGAATGATAAGGTGCTAAAGTTATCCTTTTAATCTGCCAACTCTGAAAGAATTCCATAATTTTCGCGCCTATGAATTGCGGACAGTTATCACACACGATTTCTTTTGGAACTCCAAACTGGCATATGATATTTCGCTAAATGAAGTCCCTGACGTTTTTTTCCCACACCTGTTTGAAGGTACCTGCTTCTACCCACTTGGTAAAATAATGGGTTAGTACTAGTAAAAATTGTACCTTTCCTTTGGCTTGGGGTAGCGGACCTACGATATCCATCCCCACTTCATAAAAGGCCATGGTGCAATAACCAGATGTAATAACTCTGTTGGGCAATGCATATTATTACCATATCGTTGGCATTTGTCACATTTGGCCACAAAGCTTTCTGCATCTTCCTCAATTTTTGGCCAATAATATCCTGCACTAATTAGAGTTTTTACCAAGGATATTCCTCTTGCGTGATTTCCACAGTGTCCCTCATGTACTTCTCTCATCACATACTCTGTTTGAGAATGTCCAAGACACCTTTCTAAAGGTCCACCAAACATCTTTCGATATAAGTTGCCTCGATCCAAACAATAATGGGCAACTTTTCAACGAAGTGCCCGAGCCTTTTTCTTATCTTCAGGTAGAATCTCGTACTGCAAAAAATTAACAATCTTGTTTCGCCAATCCCAAGTAAAATTATTGAAATTTACCTCATTTTTGTCTTGATCGAGTGCCGAATGAAATAAATGTATTACGGAAGCATTTTCTTCAGTTGTCACTTCTGCAGCGGATGCAAGATTAGCAAGCACGTCTGCTTCAGCATTTTCTTCGCTGGGTATTTGCAAGATTTTCTAAGATCGGAACTGTCTGATTAAATCTCGTACCTTTTCCAAATATTGTTGCATCCTCTCTTCTCTAGCTATCTAAGTCCCCTGCATTTTATTAGCTACAAGATGCGAGTCACTCTTGATTATAATCTACACTATTCCGAGCTCTCGTGCCAATTCTAGACCTGCAATTACAGCTTCATATTCTGCTTCATTATTAGTAATGGGATGGCATTTTATTGCTTGCCTTATAGTTTCTCCCGAAGGTGGGATTAGAACAATTCCTAAATCTGCTCCTTTAACATTTGAGGACCCATCAGTAAATAGGATCCAAGTACCCGAATTAGACCTGTTGAACAACCGCAATTCTTTTTCTGCTTCCGTTATTATCCCTGGGCTGAAATCTACCATGAAATCTGCTAAAACCTATGATTTTATCGTAGTTCTAGGGTGATATGTGATATCATATTCACTTAGTTCTATAGCCCACTTGGCTAATCTACCTGATAGTTCTTGCGTGTGCAATATATTTCTTAAGGAGTAAGAGGTCATTACAGAGATAGGGTGACATTGAAAATAAGGCCTCAACTTTTTAGATGCCATGATTAATGCTAAGGCAAGTTTTTCTAAATGGGGACATCGAGTTTCAGCATCCAATAAACACTTGCTAATATAATAAATTGGAGATTGTTTACCTTTGTCTTCTCTAACTAATACTGCACTTACCACCATTTCTGACACAACGAGATAGATGAGTAGCATTTCTCCATCCTTCGGTTTAACCAGCAACGGTGGGTTTGAGAAGTACATTTTTAGATTTTTGAGTGCTTGTTGGAATTCCTTAGTCCACTCAAACTGGCTTTGCTTTTTCAATACTGAAAAGAACTTAAAGCTTTTCTCTGAAGATTTAGAAATAAACCTTCCCAGTGTTGTTATCCTACCTGTCAACCTCTGCGCCTCTTTTTTGCTCGTGAGTATATCCGGTATTTCTTCAATGGCTTTAATATGTGCTAGATTACTTCAATTCCTCGGTTATAAACAAGGAAACCTAAAAACTTACCTGAAGGCACACCAAATGCACATTTTTTGGGATTTAACTTCATATTGAATTTGCAGAGAATCTGAAATGTATCTGACAAATATTAGATGTGATACCCTGCCTGTGCTGACTTGACTAGCATGTCATCGATATAGACTTCCATGGTTTTTCCCAGATGTTCTTGAAACATCTTCGTTACTAACCTCTGGTACGTGGCTCCAGCATTCTTTAGGCCAAACGACATAACTTTATAACAGTAAGTCCCCCTGTCTGTATTAAATGAGGTTTTTTCCTCATCTAAAGGATCCATTTTTATTTGATTATATCCTGAATAGGCATCTAAAAAACTTAACAATTCATATCCTGCAGTAGCATCAATTAGTTGATCTATGTGCGGTAAAGGAAAAGAATCTTTAGGAAAGCTTTATTCAAGCCATTATAGTCTACACATACTTGCCATTTATCATTCATTTTTGGCACCACTAAAGTATTGGCTAACCAATTAGGATATTTTACCTCTCGGATAGACCCGATTTTTAAAAGCTTTTGTACCTCATCCTGAATCACCTGGTTTTGAAGGATTATTGCTTCTTTTTCTTCTGTTTGACAGGCGGATATGTTGGATCATAATTTAGCTTATGGGTCAGCACCTCTGCTGGTATAACTATCATATCTGAATGCGGGCAAGCAAAGCAGTCTACGTTAGCTTTTAAGAATTCAATTAACTTACCTTTCATCTCTAGGATCAGGCTGGTTACGATATAAACTTTTCTGTCTGGCCAATGTATAAACAGCACCATTGCTTCGAGTTCCTCAATTGTTATTTTGATGTTTTCATTCTCTTCAGGCCTTGAGTCAACATCCGTTTACCAATCTCTAGTTGAGGTTTGTGCTGCTAAATCCTCAACTGAATTCTGTAATTGCTATATTTTGTCTGTAACATCGTTCTTTATGCTTGAATCTACCACTGAATTGATACGTCTAGAGGCTTGTTGATCACCACGGATTTGTCTAATTCCCCATTTTGAAGGGAACTTAATAACCTGATGTAAAGTAGATGGAACGCATCCATCTCGTAAATCCAAGGTCTGTCGAGAATCATATTATATGCCATGTCCGTATCTATCACTTGAAATTTCATATCTTTGAATACTCTTTTTGTGAATGTCGTGATCACTATCTCTCCTTTTTTAACAATGCTTGAATTGTCAAATCCAGATAAGGTACGTGCTTTGGGTACCAATTTATCATCGGCTTGCATCTCGTTTACCACTATTAAAATAATGATATTTATAGAGCTACCTGGATCAATCAAAAACTCGTTTCACATTAGTATCAAGTACAAGTAAAGATATTACCAGTGCATCATTGTATGGGATCATCATGCCATCTACATCTACATATGCATCATCAAACATTATGTTGTCTTCTTCCAAAACTTGGCGAATTCGCTTTCCTTGGGTAACTGTGACTTTTGACATCTTTTTTACAACTGTATACGTTACATCGTTGACCTCCTCTCTTCCGCTTATCACATTAACCATTATTTTTGGTGACAAAGGTTTTGGTGGCTCCTGCCTATTCTTCATATACGATTGCTTACCCTTCTCTCTAAACAAATTGGTTAAATAACCTTGTTTTAACAAATGCTCTATTTCACCTTGTAGCAATCTGCACTCTGCTGTTTTGTGATCGTGATCATTATGAAACTCGCACCAGAAATCTGGGTCTTTTCTGCTAGGGTGCAATGTCATTTCTTTTGGCCACCGCACATTATCTCCCATACTTCTTAAAATGGCTACCAACTCAGATGTGCTAATATTGAAACTGTAATCACCAATCTTTGCTTTTGTACTAATGTCGTTGTCCCACATATCTCGCTCCTTTCTAAACTTGGATGACAAACCCACATCTATGTCCCTTGATCTGGAACCGTACCTCGGGTTCTCTTGTTTAGAATATGAATCCCTTCCTGGTATCCCATGTAAGGTTCGTACCTATTCTTATTTAACCTTTTTTTCAGTTTCTGGTCGCTTCGAACTTGCTCTTTCATCTCCTCGTGATTGAGTGATAATATCTTCTTCTATCCACAACTTTGTGTTATACCTGTTGTAAATATCATTCCAAGTTGTTGCAGGGAATTCTCATAAACTTTCGTTGAGTCTCCTCGTGGCTTCTGAACTTTTTTCATTTAGGTTACTTGCAAACTCCATAGCCGCCCAGTTATCAGATACACATTGTAACATCATCATTTTACACTGGAATCCATCCACAAATTCCTCTGAGTAGCTCCGTATCTCCTTGTTTTATTTTGAATATGTCTTCCATCCTCTTTTCAACTTTTTGAACTCCCGAGTGTGCTTTTATAAATGAATCTGCAAGCTCAGCAAAAGAATCAATAGAATTTTTTGGTAAAAGAGAATATCATGTTAGTACTCCACCATCACTGACTCAATCTCTTGCTTGGTCAAGTTGTTGCCTTTCACGCCAGTTGTAAATGCAGTTACATGATCCTGTAGGTCATTTGTCCCATCATACTTCGGGATATCGGGCATCTTAAACTTTTTTTGGAATTGGAAAAGGAGCGGCACTGGGCTTCCAGGGTTGTTGAGAATATTTATCAATATCTACTCCTTTAATCGCGGGTGGCGCACCAAGTATATGCTATATGCGATCGTTCTGCTCCTTGAGCTGTTTCTTCAAAGTTAGTACTAAATTTTATAAATCGGAATTATTTAGAATACCTAATCTTCCATCGCAAGATTCGCTAGGAGTTCCTCTACTTCCCGAATTGGCGAGTCCTGAGCATGGGTTCTCTATGGTTGCGGTGTTGTTTGGAGGTGGAGTTGGTGGTACAGTTTCTTCAATGCATCTTCAGCAGTTTGATCTTCCCCTGGTTGGCTATTCATATGTGATGTTGATCTGTCATGAGACCCTTCTCGGGAGTGTTGAGGAGAATTTTGGGGTGAAGGGATTGGAGTTTCATCCTCTTGTTGATTCTGTTGGTCCAGTTGGTTTTGTTAGTTGTTGTCGCTGGCAGTCGACATGATTGTTTGACAGAAAGATAAATTTGGAAAGTGAAAGATTATAAAATTTTCAGTAACGGAACCAATTTGTTTAACCAAAAATTATGTATTTTGGTCAAAGTGTATTATTAGAAGAACTCGGTTACTAATAACCAAGAAATTTCGTACTTTCTCAATTATATGAAAGGAAAAGACAAAAATAAGTAAAGAAATAATTGATTGCAAAGTCAGGATAGCAGAAAAGTAAACTGAATATATTCTAATATAGTGTCAGATGATCTTTACAAATGAAATTCTCTTCCCTTTTATAGGGGTTTTCAAATATAATATTTTCTCCCTTTTATGGCCGAATCATTATGTCATTAGTGACATTAGTGATCCGTTTATAATAACAATCGTAACTGTTTGTGAAGATTTTGTAACGGTTACAATTCTTATTCCTCATTAACTAGATGTTCGTGAATATTCCCCTTCTTACTTTATTGATTCATTCAACCCATATTTGTTGAATGATTTAGACACAAGCAACTGCATCCCTTCATCCCGTGAGTGATTTGTCTATGTCTCTTGTATCTCGTGCATCTTCTAATGCAATATTCCAACTGTTATTTTCTTAGCGATCCACGTATCATGTCTTGTTAGCTACACATAATTTCACGTGTTATATTTATTTTTTACTAATACAGTTTTCCCTTTTCTTTTTGGTGCCATGTCGAACTTTTCGTTTTAGTCGCGTTGTAGGAACTGTGGCACTACACAAAAGAATGGCGCGGAATCACTCAAAAGAAAAGTGAGTAGTTGAGAATGACTCCATGTTGCAACTTACGACAATGGATTTAACTAAGTTTGTCCACTTATCTTGGCAATATATACTTTCATTTTGAACATATTGCCGAAAACTTTTTCACTTTGGTTTGTGCGATCATCTTGTAGTCCTACAAGAGACTTAGCCGGAGAAAATAGCTTAAAGTATATTGCTCAGTTGCTCTACGTGGGCTTGAACCCAACAATATCGTAAAAATTGCATGGGGCGTTCTATTTGGTCGCCCCCATTTAACCTATACCCATTTTTTAAAAACGTTTTAACTTATACCCACTTTTTAAACAACTTCAGTCCTCTTTCTCCTCCTCCTCCTCCTTCTTCTTCTTCTTCTTTCATCTGTTGTTGTTGGTGCTGTTATGAAACTTCAGTTCATCGAGATGATTGCCATAAGTATGTTTATCAGATTATTTAAAAATAAATTACAAATAACTTTCTAAAGTAAGTACGTACATATATGTAAATGTAAGTCTATTTCCTTTAATTCACCTTTACTAATCATATACATGGATTATACATAATTATACACATGTAATACATACGTTATGCATATATTATATATTCACTGGCTATTTTTAGTTTAAACTGTTGGGTGATCGACTAATTGGGTTAATTCTTCTCAAGTGTAATTACCATTGAGCGTTTGCCCAAGGGGCATTTGCATTTATACCCACTTTTTGGGTCACGTTTTAACTTGTACCCGCTTTGCAAAAAAATTGCAAGTGTACCCACTTTTTCGCGTAACTTCAGCATACGGGCCTGAAGTAGCAAAAATTGTTGAGCCAAGTGTGCTGAAGTTTTTGTTTGTAATTGTTGAACTTAAGCATAGTAGCTGAAGTTTTATTCTCTATTTGCTGAAGTTTTTTGTTTGTAATTGCTGAATTTAAGCGTAGTAGCTGAAGTTTTTGTTTGTAATTGTTGAACTTAAGCATAGTAGCTGAAGTTTTATTCTCTATTTGCTGAAGTTTTTTGTTTGTAATTGCTGAATTTAAGCGTAGTAGCTGAAGTTTTTGTTTGTAATTGTTGAACTTAAGCATAGTAGCTGAAGTTTTATTCTCTATTTGCTGAAGTTTTTTGTTTGTAATTGCTGAATTTAAGCGTAGTAGCTGAAGTTTTTGTTTGTAATTGTTGAACTTAAGCATTCTAGTAGCTGAAGTTTTGTTCTTTATTTGCTGAATTTCAGTATGTTTTAGCTACAGTTTTGCTCTATATTTGCCGAACTTCAACATGTTTTATGTTATCATGTAATTGATTTTTTGTACAGATAATAAGTTTATCATAAGTAGAATTAGTAACTTAAAAAATTAGATAATGATTTAGCACAACAGGTTAAAATGCATTGATAGTGTACAAGCTGAATCCAAAAAAATAATAAAATGTGAATTAAAGGAAATGGACTTATATTTACATGCACGTACGTACTTACTTTAGAAAGTTATTTATAATTTGTTTTTAAATAATCTGATAAACATACTTATGGCAATCATCCCCATGAACTAAAGTTTCATAGTAGCATCAACAACAGCAGAAGAAAGAAGAAGAAGACAACGAAGGAGGAGGAGAAAGGGGGTTGAAGTTATTTAAAAAATAGGTACAAATTAAAATTTTTTTAAAAAAAATAGGTATAGGTTAAATGGGGGCGATCAAATAGGCGCTCCGCGCAACTTTTACAGTTACGTCGAGTACGTTCCTTAAGTTGGGCCTGAACCCTTCTTCCGGAAAGTAGACTTCGCGCTAGACTCTCAACCCAACTAATTATGGGCCCCGCCCAATAAATGTTTGCAATCAGGTGCTGTAAAACTAAAACTTTGCGTGTTATTTACGCAGGTGGCCACCTTTGTTTCCTTGTATTTTGATGTGGGCCGCTTTTTCAAAATTAAACGTGTGGTCTTTTATTAGTTCTCAATTTTAAAATTCAAATGACGTGCTACTTTCCAACTTCAGACCACTAATCTAATTTTGCAGAAGGACCAACTTCTAAATTCAAGGTCACAAAAGTAGCCATTTGTGCAGATCAACCAAAATTGGCGACCACTGTTCGTCAGATTTGTAAAGAAAAAGATTAAGACCAGCGCCCACAGGTTTGTGGGGCTCGAAAACCTTGGGTTGACAGTTCGTGTTATTAACTTATTACAATGTCTATAGCAAAGTACTTCAGTGTACATATTGGGAATAATAATGTAGGGAAAAAGCTCATAAGAAGGCCCACGAAGAGAAATTATTTGTTGAAGTACGATTTTCTAATTAGTGAACCAATATAATTCCATATCCGACATCAAAGGTTTAGGCAATGACACAATGGCAAAATTAGGAATTACGTTAATTATGTGCATCATTTAATAAAGCGAAATTTTCACAAACCACTATTGTTTAGTGGTTATTAGCTAGTTGTAGCTACTATTTATTATACTAGTTTTTCTGCACGTGCAATTAACTTTGGTGTATAAAATAATCTCAATATTATTAAAATAAAATTTAGAGTAGTTAATTATAGATGAAAGAAAAAAGCTTGTGAATGTGCATCGACATATGGTGACTTATTTATCGGAGCAAAGATGATTAGATATCATTTGAACCTACGCAACAAACAATCAAAGTTCGATTAGATATATGTTTACTTATTTTTATTTTATGAAGTACAAACATATAATGAAGCATATATCACATATTATTTCTTTATAGATGATATTCATAATGTACGTTTGCTGTCTAGGTTGCTCTGTTGTGGCCAAAAATCTTGTTGTTGAAATTGATATCTCAAAGTACAAACTTAAAATTGGCCATATGAGAAGACACGTTATGGTAGACATAATCTAACTTTAAATATCGATTAATCCTCCTGCAAGACCTAAATGTACAAATAAAATTTCATGCTAGGCCATAAAATATGATATAAGCACATAAATTTGTTGACATAATATCTTGTAAATTGAGACTCTAGTATCACAAAACCAAGGATTTGTTTATCTCACCATCATTCTAAGCAAAATTTCCGCATCAAATAATAATTGTATGATCACACTTATAT